AGCAGTAGAATCACTTAAACCCGGGAGGCAGCGATTGCAGTTAGCTGAGATCATGCCACTGCCACTGCACTGCACTCCAGCCTGGGCTACAGAGAAAGACTCCACCTCAAAAAAAAAGAAATTGAAAAAAATCTAATTTTTGTGTGAAATTCCTCATTTTTGAAAGTGGTTAATTAATTTGAATTTTTAAAACTCTACAGTGGGTTGCTCGAAGAGCTAAACATAAAATTACCATACAATACAGCAATTCCACTTCTGGGTATATTCCCCAGAAAATCGAAAACAGGGACTCAAAGAAATATTTGTAGGCCAATGTTCACTACAACCCAAAGTGGAAACAATCCAAGTGTCTAGAATAACTTATAAATAATATGTGATATATCCATGCAATACAATACTCAGCGATTCGAAAAAAAATTAGTTCCAACACATGCTACAACATGGGCGAACCTTGAAAAATCTTATGCTAAGCAAAATAAGCCAGCCACAAAAGGACCGTACTTATGGATTGTACTTATATGATTGTACTTATGGAAATACCTAGAATAGGCAAATTCATACAGATAGAAATTAGATAAGAGATTAGCACGGGGTGGGGCAGGGAGAGGGTGGAGTTGCCTAGGAGTTCTTGCTTAATGGCACAGTTTCTTCTTGGGGTGATGAAAATGTTTTGGAAATAGACAGCGGTGATGTTTGCACAACATTTGAAATATAACTAATGCCACTGCGTTGTATACTTAATAATGGTTAAAATGTTATATATATCTAACAGCCAGGCCCAGTGTCTCACGCCTGTAATCCCAGCACTTGGGGAGGCCGAGGAGGGAGGATCACTTGGGGTCAGGAGTTTGGGGCCAGCCTGGCCAACATGGCAAAACCCCGTCTTTACTAAAAACACAAAAATTAGGTGGTGTAGTGTTATGCACCTGTAATCCCAGCTACTCAGGAGGCTGAGGCAGGAGAATCACTTGAACCCAGGAGGTGGGGGTTGCAGTGAGCTGAGATCATGCCACTGCACTCCAGCCTGGGTGATAAAGCGAGACTCCATCTCAAAAAAACCGAACAACAACGAAAACTAAATGTTGTATATATCTTACTACTGAAAAAACAAAACCCAAAACCTCTAGAGTGGCTAGACAAAACATACCAGGAGTGGCTCTGTGAGCTGTGGGCCAGCAGTCTGGGCCTTTGTGCCCAGTGGTGACAGCCAGCACCATCTCCACTAAGCCCCTTCAGACTCACGGACCAGCGGTAATGCACAGCTATATGCTAGACAGTGGAGTGGGGCCGGGGAGGTAGATAAAATTAAAAACACATATTTCCAATCCTTGAGGAGATTAAAGCTAGAAATAGACCTGACAGTAGTAATACAGCCACATGCTTTCAGGGGCTTCCAAAAGCATACCTGGAGAAATTTGGAGAGGAGATGGCATGCATCGCACCTGGCTGTGGGGATCGCTGAAGGATTCGTGAAGGCACTGGCACGTGAGCTGCGCACTGAAGTTCAGATGAGAAGGCAAGGATACTCCCTGCCCGGGCAGAGGTCTGGGGGAAGAACATAGGGTATATGTAAGGACAGAGCCAGTTTGACAGGAGCAGAGTTCAATTAGAGAAGCAGCTGGAAGGAGAGGAGGGGACTGGGATGAGGAGACCAAGCCAAATTGAGGACTTCCCACTTCATTTTGAGCAGAACAAGTGACGTTCTCAAAGCTGTTCCTGAGAATGATGAGCATCTGAGAGGAGACAGGGACCCCCTGGAAGGCTAGTGAAGGGGCCAGGATGGATGACAGCCAGAAGCTGAAGGCCACAAAGGGAGGGTCCAAATGAGGCTAAAGTGGTGGCCACAATGATGAAGGGAGAGGGCTGGAGTGAGGGGGAAGGTTTGGGGTTTCCTTTGGATGTGTGGCTTTTGTCTTTTAGATTAGAGGAGCTTGAGGCAGCAGAAATAAATGGCAGGGGCCAGGTGAAGTGGCTCATGCCTGTAATCCCAACACTTTAGGTAGCCAAGGCAGGTAAATCAATTGAGGTCAGGAGTTCGAGACCAGCCTGGCCAACATGGCGAAACCCTATCTCTACAAAAAATACAAAAATTAGCCTGACAAGGTGGCACATGCCTGTAATCCCAGTTACTCGGGAGGCTGAGGCAGAGGAATTGCTTGAACCTGGGAGGTAGAGGTTGCAGTGAGCTGAGATGGTGCCATTGCACTCCAGCCTGGAAAACAGAGAGAAACTCTGGAGGGACTGAAGAGGGGAGAGGATGCAGAGGGATCACTGAGCAGAAGGGACTGAGGGAACAGAGTGCAGAGGCCCGGCAAGGTGAGGATGATGCAGACAGAAGTGAGGGGAGGGTGAGAGAGAGAAAAGAGCAGAGTCTCTAGGGTGAGGAAGGAAGATGGCTCCACACTCGCCCAAAAAGATAGTAAAGGAAGTCATCTGCTTTGAAAGAGAGGACCAGGAGCGACTCTGACGGCTCAACAGTGGCATGTCACAGAGGAAGAATTCAGTGGCTGCTGAATGTCACAGGGCCTAGCTGAGGCTGGAGCGCACAGGCCCAGAGCAGCCCCACATGTGACCTGGTTGCCCTGCCTCACACGCTAAAGGGAGAGTGGAAAAGGCATGCAGCATGGGCAGCGATGGCCAAGCAGGCCTGGGAGCAGTGTAAGAAAATACAGGAAAGGGAGTCTCCATCAGACAAGGCACATTCTTGTGGGGTTTTTGTTTATTAAAATTCCCCCCAAAATATCCTTCTTTAAACTGACAGTTATTTATGGGTATAATGTAATGTTCTGAGAGATATATACATGTTGTGGAATGATTACATCAATCCCATTAACATTTCCATCACCTCCAATACTGTTTTGGAGACAGTCTTCCTCTGTCGCGCAGGCTGGAGTGCAATGGTATATGGGCTCACTACAACCTCCACCTCCTGGGGTCAAGTGATTCTCCTGCCTCAGCCTCCCAAGTAGCTGGGATTACAGGTGCCCGCCACCACACCCAGCCAATTTTTGTATTTTTAGTACAGACAGGATTTCACCATGTTGGTCAGACTGGTCTTGAACTCCTGACCTCAAGTGATCCACCCACCTCGGCCTCCCAAAGTGCTGAGATGACAGGTGTGAGCCACCGCACCTGATGTATTCTCTTAGCATTTCTAAAATATACAATACATTATTATTAACATAAGGCACATCTTTGAAATGGCCAGCCATGGGGAGAAGGTAGCCTCAGAGTGACTGGAGGATGAGAGATGGAGATTTTGAGGGATTTTGAGCAGGAAGGTTGGAGGAGGCACAGCCTCTTATGATTAAAGTCCAGTAAGCATCACTGCCCTGCAAAGGGAGGCACCTTCACTAAGAACTGAACATGGCTGAGCAATTCCTTGATGCAGAGATGGCAGTGAAGAGGGTGGGAATGTATCTATCAGCCAGTGCTCAACTCGCTGGACGAGGGAGTGCTTCCCAGAAGATGGCAGATGGAAGAGACAATGAGAGGTTTTCACGTAAACCTCTTACATCAAAGAGGTTTACTGAACTGAATCACAGTTCAGGGGCCAGGCATGGTGGCTCACGCCTGTAATCCCAGCGCTTTGGGAGGCTGAGACGAATCACCTGAGGTCAGGAGTTCGAGACCAGCCTGATCAACATAGAAAAACCCTGTCTCTACTAAAAATATAAAAATTAGCTGGACATGGGGGTGCATGCCTGTAATCCCAGCTACTCGGAAGGCTGAGGCAGGAGAATTGCTTGAACCTGGGAGGCAGAGGTTGCAGTGCCAAGATTGCACCATTGCACTCCAGCCTGGGCAACAAGAGTGAAACTCCATCTCAAAAAAAAAAAAAAAAAAAAAGAATCACAGTTCAGGACTTAGAAGAGAAGAGAAGAGGGGGTGCTGAATGAGGGTGATGGAATCTAATTTGTTTCCAGCACTAAACTCCAGGTCCTCAGGGGCAGGACCTATGCCTCTTCCCATCCAAGTACTAATCAGGCCCAACTCCGCCTGGCTTCTGAAGCCAGGCACATCCAGGGTGGTGTGGTCCCAGCTGTGCCTTCTCTTTGTATCTTCAGGTCTAGCAAAGAACCTAACATGTGGTAGGCACTCCATACTATGTGGCATGAAGGGCAGGACATTCAGGGAACCCAGGGCCTAGCATTCCCTTTTCCCAACCCATAGTCAGGGAGATGTGAGAAGAAGAGACAGTCTGATGGGAAGTGACATGGTCAAGGGGAAGTGCAGCAGATGCTGGCAGGAATGGGTCTGGGAAGGTGTGGGTAGCACCAGCGGAGTTCAGTCCTGAGCAATTGCAGAGAGGGAGCCTGCTCCTAGGACTTGCACAAATTCCAAATGGGATATACAGAGTGCTAGGGGAGGGCATGTAAATTCAGTAAACTTCATTCCGACTTTAATTCAACAGCCCAGAGCACGGGTCCTATTGGTGATGTGTTGTTTTCATCTCTCACGTGAAAGAGGTTTAGTGAAAAAAGGGCAGTGTGACAGAAATCACACACAGATCAAGGGGCTAAGCCCAGTTGTGCTAACCAAGTCTGTGCTCTTTGGAATCGATGCGAATGTCCATCTCACTGTGCCTCAGTGTCCTCGCCTCTCAATGGGGCTAAGTCTCTTTACTACCCATTCCGCGGGATGGCTCTGATGAGAAAAATGAAAGCAATTTCCAAACATTTCACATCTAAGTGCCCCAAATTGTCCCAGGGTTGTGCATTTCACCCATCCCTTGTGCTTTATAATGTTACAAACATGTTTGAAATAAGTGGGTCGTCCACTGGGATTTGGAATTCACTGTGATCTGGAGACCTGGTCGTGTTTACTAAGTTTTGACTCCTGGACAAGAAGTGAAACCTTATTTCCACTCAACCTCCTCCTGTGTTCTGTCCTCACACAGGACATCATCCACACAGCGCTCTGTTCTTCATCTTGCATTGCTCTTTTTGGAAATAAGTATATTTGGATGTTTTGTTGCTAAAGCTGCATTCTCCCCGCAGCATCTGTGCCTGGCGGCCACGGGGAAGGGAAAACAGGAACACTTGGAGGCAGCACTCTCCTGTCCTCACCCACACAGGGCATGGCTTCCTAGACGAGTCTCCGAACCTGGATGTCTGCAGTGTCCTGGCATGCTGCTGGTAAGTGACAGACACACGCAGGGCTGCAAGGCTAGGAGCTCTCTCTGTGAGGGAGGAACGAGGACACTTCACAGCTTTCACTTGAGTGGATACAAGAGAATGTTTTGTGAAAGTGGCAACAGAGGTAAAATGGCTTTTTTGCTATAGAAGTAAAGTGGGACACCCAGCAAGAGCCACGCACTGATCAGAGAATGAGAGCCTCACTGAGAGAAGCCATGCAGCCTGTGGCCTGGCTCTGGTTGACCAGATGAAGAGTGATCCCTGTTTGAGCCTATTATGGCACTAGGATGGTTTTTCAACTCATGATTCTGTTGCAGGTCAAAGCGGGTAGCTGTGATGAGCCCTGGGCCTGGACCCACGTTAGGGAGTTCAGTGTTGAGGGTAGCAGGCCATCCCCTCCCATCATGGCCAGCCATCACTGTGGACCAGCCAACAGGCAGAGGGGCACCTGGCTGAAAAATTATCTCCAGAGGCAAACATTTAACAGCCATGATGTCTTAAATAAATATCACTCTTGCTGAGCAAGGGAAGAAAGAAAAGAATAAACAGAAAAGAGTGGGAAGAAAGAGAAGAGAATGCAGATTAGATTTAAGAGGGGCAGATATGATGATGAGGGGTGGCATCTACATCAACAAAGAAGCACTGAGTAGCTCCCAGGGGCTAAGCAGGCCCCACCTTCAGATGGGTCCCTAGAGCTAGCAGTGAAGAGTCCCCTCTTCTCCAAATGTGCCTAGGGCTGAATGCAGAGGGGAGCCGGAAGTCCTTCAAGAAACCACGAAGGCTTCACCCTGGCACAGACCCAGAGCAGGAACCCTTTCCTCACTGGCAGTGCCCACCACCACATCAGCCTCCCCTCTGCTCGGCAGCCCATAGGGCCCAAGGAGGACACAGAAGTGAGCCAGAGAAGAAGGGTGATGGGGAGAGGGAGCCGCCTGACTCACCCCATCCTCAGTCACTCGGATCATGGGTGGGCAGGCCTGCAGATGATGAATCACTGAGAGCTGTGAACGCTATTCTGAGCTCTGCCAAGAATGCGGGTGCTCTTGTTGGCACCCTGGCACCCTTCACAGTTTCTCTCCTTCCTTGTCTGGCTGCCAGGACACATGCATTGTAGAAACCGGGTATCTGAGTGGGTTTTTTTAGCCCAACATAGAAACATCTAACTCTTTCTATTCTTCCTGCTTCTTAACCAGTTCTTGGAAGTCACTGATTGGAAACCGGAACCGAGAGCCACCTCCTTCCCAGCCTAGCTGAGAAGCCATTCCAGGGCAGGACAGAGCTTATGGAATTTACCAAATAAATCACCTGACTTCGTGTTTGGCTACATGTCTGAAAGTACCCAAGAAGTATGTCAGTTAAGTTCTAGATTCTGGCCAGGCGCAGTGGCTCACACCTGTAATCTCAGCACTTTGGGAGGCCGAGGCAGGTGGATCACCTGAGGTCAGGAGTTTGAGACCAGCCTGGCCAACATGGTGAAACCCTGTCTCTACTAAAAATACAAAATTAGCTGGGTGTGATGGCAGGCACCTATAATCTCAGCTACTTGGGAGGCTGAGGCAGGAGAATTGCTTAAACCCGGGGAGTGGAGGTTGCAGTGAGCTGAGATCGCACGACTTCACTCCAGACTGGGCAAAAGAACAAAACTCCATCTCAAAAAAAAAAAAAAGTTCTAGATTCTATAAGGAAAAATCAGACTGGTGCCTAGAGCTCTGTATAACTGCACAACACATGAGTTAATTTCTCAATCTATCTAGTTCCCATTCAGTCCATGAACTTTCATCCACTTTCATCCATAGAAAGAGTTAAGTGCTGTACAGACTAAATCAAACCCACCACGTGCTGCTGGGCTCAGTTACCAGGAATTTAAATAAGAACCTGCCTGTGTAACATCCTCACGCTGCTGTGTATTAAACTGCAAGAGGCTCCACAGGGGAAAGTCAGATGTCCTCCACCTTCTCATTGTCTTGTGTCACAGACCCTTGGGAATGGGCATTTGGAAAAGCAAAGGTCATGCCTCTATGCCTTAGGAAGATGAAGAGTGTAATACGTTCCATCCACAAACATATACTGACTATGAAGAAGGCATTGTGATGGTTACAGAAATGGAGGCACCTCAAGGAGGTTAAATGTGGTAGGAGAGATAGGATGTCTACACAGATCATTTTAAATAAGCACTGGCCAGACAAGGTGGCTCACCTGTAATCCCTGCCCTTTGGGAGGCCGAGGCAGGAAGAACACTTGAGGTCAGGAGTTCAAGACTAGCCTGGCCAACACAGTGAAACCCTGTCTCTACTAAAAATACAAAAATTAGCCAGGCATGGTGGCGTGTGCCTGCAGTCCCCGCTACTGTGGAGGCTGAGGCAGGAGAATTGCTTGAACCTGGGAGGCAGAGTTGCAGTGAGCCGAGATCATGCCATTGCACTCCAGCCTGGGCAATAGAGCAAGACTCTGTGTCAACAAAATTAAAAAAAAAGGACTGAGTCCTATGTAATATGAGAAAGAATTACCTGGTTTGGTGAAAGTTAGGCCGGATTCGCGACTGTGCCTTAGAGAATAAGCACAGTCTCCTCCGGGGAAGACACAGACATGATACTGAAGGTACAGAGAACTGCCCCATCTTTCTGCAAGAATGTGGGGAGATAAAATCAGAGTGGTACATGGGGTTTAGACATGCAGTGCCTTAAATGACAGGCTTAGGAGCTTGGGCTTGATCCAGTGGGCGTGGAGAACCCACAAGGCGACAGGGGTGATCCAATCAGAGCTTCCAGAAGCTCGGTCTGGCAGTTGTGGCAAGATGGCTTGAAAGGAAGGGAAACCAGAGATAGGGAACCAGTGTCATAGTTCGGATGGGAACTAGGAAAGACCTGACGAGAGAAGTAACAATGAGAAAAAGAAACTGGTGTATACAATGTTACGGAGGTGATTAAACAGGTCAAATATTCACCAAATGTGAAGAAATGAAAGAGGAAGAGAAAGACATCAAAACGACTCTGAAACACTCAAAACCACTAGAGGTGGATGTGTTTTCTCAACTAGAGAAAATGATTTGTAGCCAAATTGACTGAGAAGATGACAGTGCCATTAACAGGCATATGGACCTCAAGAGGAAAAAGAGATTTGGGAGCGGTTCTCGCTTATGACGGTGAGAGGCCGTGGAGATGGCCAGAACACAGTCGAAAATGCATCCAAGCGTGATCAGGGCTGGAGAGAGGGATCTGGGAATCACCCACGTGGCAGTTATAGTGGGAAGCATGGGACACAGCAAAGAAAAGCATCCCAAAGGTGGAACTAACCAAACAAAGACCTGCACTGAGAGAATGGAGGAAACAAACAAAGTGAGAAAGCAGAAAGAACCAGTATGGACTGACTCACAACCATATGCTTGTGCTAAGGGATGTGCCTATGTTACCTGCAAAGTATTTTTTCCATTTTATAGATGAGAAAACTAAATCTCCGTCTCCTACTTCATCCAACAGCCCAAACTCCATATCGGAAATCCAAGAGTCATTCTCCACAAATCATGTCCCCCACCTCTCAGTCAGTTGCAACACACCTACCTCCTAATCCTTCTTGACTCAATTCCCTTCTTCCAGCCCTACTTTAGAGCCTTACTTTAGGTCCTCAGTTGTTCCCTGCTTAGCCAATAGCTTCCTATCTCCAAGGCTCTCTGTTCCTGGTCTTACTCATTACCATTCCATCTCCTCTACCACCAAGGGTTCCAACACACAAATCCAGTTCTCACAACACCTTCAGAAGCTAGCAAGGGCCTTGGTGAGGTGGCTCTGCTCACTCTCTGGGATCACCTCAAGCCACTCACTTGTAGGCATCCCATACTGTGCCCTCACAGAACTATCTGTGGCTCGCAAAATACACCTACCTTCCCATCTCTGCACATGATCCCTCTTTTTCAAGACTATCTCCTGCCAGGCATGGTGGCTCATGCCTCTAGTCCCAGCACTTTCGGAGGCTGAGGTGGGCAGATGACCTGAGGTCGGGAGTTCGAGACCAGCCTGACTAACATGGAGAAACCTTGTCTCTACTAAAAATATAAAATTAGCTGGGTGTGGTGGCACATGCCCGTAATCCCAGGTACTCGGGAAGCTGAGGCAAGAGAATTGTTTGAACCCGGGAGGCAGAGGTTGCAGTGAGCAGAGATCACACCATTGCACTCCAGCCTAGGCAACAAGAGAGAGACCCTGTCTCAAAAAAAAAAAAGACTGTCTTCTACTTTTTTTTAGGAGCAATTCAAGCATCACACCCTCAAGGTGTTCAAATCTTCCCAGGGACCTGTTTTCTGTACCCTTCACTGCCTTGGCCATACCCCCATCACAGCTCTTACCACACTACAACTTAATCTATATGAATAAATCCAATTTATCTCATTGTATCTAACACTCAGTATTTTCTGGTGAAATTAACGAACTAAGTAATTAAAATCTAAGTCTGATTCTGAGGTTCACATTCTTCCCACTACTCAGAGTAGAAAGAGAAACAGGATAGTGTAAGATGACAAAAAGGCAAGAGGCCATCCACAAAACACTCACAGCTAACGTCATACTTAATGGTGTAAGACTAGATGCTTTCCTCCTAAAATCATGAGCAAGACAAGGATGTCTGCTGTCACCACTTCTATACAACACTGCATTGAAGACTCTAACCAGGGAAATTGGGAAAGAAAAAGAAATAAAAGGCACCCAGATTGAAAAAGAAGTTCAACTATCTCTATTCCCAGATGACATGATCTTATATATGAAAACATCCTAAGGAACCCACAGAATAATTATTAGAACAAATAAACAAGTTCATCAAGATCGCAGGATACAAGATCAATATACAAAGCTCAATTGTATATCTCTATATATTAGTGTTGAACCATCCAAAATGAAGTTAAGAAAATAATTCCACTTAAAATTTAAAAGAAAAAAATGGCTGGGCACAGTGGCTCATGCCTATAACCCCAGCACTTTGGGAGGCCGAGGTGGATGGATCACCTGAGGTCAGGAGTTTGAGATCAGCCTGTGCAACATGGTGAAACCCCGCCTCTTCTGAAAATACAAAAATTAGATGAGCGTGGTGGTGGGCACCTATAATCCCAGCTACTAGTGAGGCTGAGGCAGGAGAATCATTTGAACCTGGGAGGCAGAGGTTGCAGCAAACCAAGATCACACCTTTACACTCCAGCCTGGGTGATGGCAGTGAAACTCTGTCTCAACAACAACAAAAAAAAAAAATACAAAATACATTTAACAAAAGAAGTAACAAGACTTGTGCACCAAAAACTACAGAACATCACTGAAATAAATTAAAGACATAAATAAATAAAAAGGCATCCCATATTCATGGATTGGAAGATTTAATCTTGTTAAGATGACAGTACTACTCAAATTGATCTACAGACTCAACACAACCCCTATCAAAATCCCAGCTATCTTGTTTTGTAGAAATTGACAAGCTAATTCTAAAATTCATATGGAAATGCAAGAGACTCATACTCACCAAAGCAATTTTGAAAATTAAGAACAAAGTTAGCCGGCCGTGGCGGCTCAAGCCTGTAATCCCAGCACTTTGGGAGGCTGAGGTGGGTGGATCACGAGGTCAAGAGATCGAGACCATCCTGGTCAACATGGTGAAACCCCGTCTCTACTCAAAATACAAAAGATTAGCTGGGCATGGTGGTGTGTGCCTGTAATCCCAGCTACTCAGGAGGCTGAGGCAGGAGAATTGCCTGAACCCAGGAGGCGGAGGTTGCGGTGAGCCGAGATTGCGCCATTGCACTCCAGCCTGGGTAACAAGAGTGAAACTCTGTCTCAAAAAAAAGAACAAAGTTAGAGGACTCACACTTGCTGATTTCAAAACTTACTACAGGCTAGGTATGTTGACTCATGCCTATAATCCCAGCACTTTGAGAGGGCAAGGTAGCTCAATTAGTTGAGGTCACGAGTTCAAAACCAGCCTGGCCAACATGGTGAAGTCTCGCCTCTACTGAAAAAATACAAAAATTCAAAATTAGGCAGGCATGATGGTGGGTACCTATAATTCCAGCTACTCAGGAGCCAGAGGCAGAAAAAAATCACTTGAACCCAGGACACAAAAGTCTCAATGTGCCAAAACTGCACCACTGCACTCCAGCCTGGGCAGCAAGACCCTGTCCCAAAAGAAAAAAAAAACAACTTACTGCAAAGCTAAAGCTATAGTAATTAAGATAAGACAGAATGGTATTGACATAAAGATAGACATACAGATCAAGCTGATAGAATTGAGAGTCCAGAAATAAACCCTTACATACATGGTCAATTGATATTAAACAAAGCTGCCAAAACATTTCA